CACAGCACGGTGTTTATCTCTATTCAGCCATTGAAAAGGTGCAATAAATATAGTGAACACACGTCGGGCAATTGAAACGCATACTACTTAATAATCGCTGGCGTGCAAGTACGCGGTTCGCACACGACTCTCGCTCCGTGTGGCCGGCGCTCGCGAGTCGAGACTCGATTTTATCGATACCGCGTGAACGTCACTTCCCCGTCACTATTTTATTGACAGCCGCGTTATGGGATGTGGCTTTAGAAACCGAATAGGATGATTGGGCGGGTTTGTTAGTCTTTTTGTGTGTAATTACAGCTATTATACTATGCCTTGTTGGATCAAACGAACAAATAGTATTAATTGCGGAATATTCACTTTTTAGTATGTAAACTATTTTGCTATTTTTCATCACTTTCCTTTTCAAATTACAGACGTGAGTCCAAACAAAATGAAAACACTCGAAAAATTTAAAATATGTTAATTTAAAAGCGATTTATTGTTTGTTAAATGAAAATGAGTTAATGATTCGTGTTAATGACTTAAAAATGAAATCCCGCTTAATTTTCAAAAATCGATCAGACTGGAGAAATAGCTGCATAAGACTGAAATTCTACTCAAGAAAATTAAATTACGAACGTCGAAAGAATTTCAAATTCAAAAAGGTTGAATCGAGTGAAACGGCCAGTGTTCTAATCGTTTCGATCATCAGTCACGTGTGGTCGACTGAAATCGATTGTATCGATACCGTGCGAAAACACGGTGTGACAACGCCACGGCCGGTTTGTTCGCGCCGTGTTGTACGTACATTTAATTTAATGTCCATACGTGGTCGGATCATGTGATAAGTGCGATCGGATGGATTCATGTTCGAGGGTTCCGTATTAGCATAATAAAAAAAAAATATCGATTTAATTTTAAATATTTCAATGGTAACACTAATCGATTATGTGTGACCTTATTTTATGTGTAAATTAAGACGACATTGGACTCCAGTATCAATGTCATTATCCACTGCGGAGAGGACAGGAAAGAATGGAGGAACATAGTCCGAATAAAAGTCACGACCCTCAGCACTGAGGAACACGATGCGAAGAGGAGGATGTGACCTCAGCCTGTTTAGGTATTGCCATATTATCCATCATCTTATTTTACCACACTCATTTTATTTTAATACAGATCTCTCTTCTTGATTCTCCAAATTTCTTCAACCTTTTTGTATCTAATTAATGAATTAACACGATCAAATCGTATAAAATCACCGGTAATACAACAACTTACTGCCGCGCAACAATGATGTCCTAAATAAACGAATTATTATCTCGTTGAAAACCGTTCTGATATAGATTCCGAATTCGCTTTGATAGATCCAACCCTAAAACATATGTATATTGTTGACATTACTAATAAAACGTGGATTGATTTATAGCTTTTTTCTATTTCCCGGTAGTTGTCCATAATTGTTGGGAAGGCGGCTACGTGCGAATGTGTCTTTTGAAATACGTCCACTGAATAAAATGTTCGTAGAGTGATTTATTGATGTTTGACCTTAAAAATTTGATGATCTTTAATTCGTTGCGTTTACGTACTAGTGTGAATACTATGAAAGTAGATAATAGGTCAGGATGGAGCGTACTAAAGAGACTTGGATGAACTGTGTAAAAGTGTATATGCGAGAGAAGGGTGTGAGGGAAGAGATGCGTATGATTGGCTTGGGGATAAGGGGGATAAGGGCAAGAAAAAGAAGACTAGTGGGACTAGCAATTGTTTTCAGCTGAACATTTGAAGTCCGTGAATACATGACAAAAAAACACCTGTGGCACTCGGATACTGCCGCGGTAAAGCTATTGCATAGCATTTTTTATCAATTTATGCAATTATAATTAGACAATAATAATTTAATATTAAAACAATAATAAAATAAGACCATGTTACATTTATAAACATTAACAAAAGCAAAACATTAATTGTCCCCTTTATACTCATAAGCTAGAGCGCGCGAGAGAGATGTGGGCAGACTTTTCATGATGCGCATGCAGTGCGACGTCACACCGCGCGCTTATTCACAAACACTACACAAGCGCAATGTGTGAATGTGTTGAACGCGAGCTACATGGTAGGCGGAGTGGGGGGTGTAAGGTTTTATTTTCGTTACTGAATTTCTTGATTCGGTCACTACGCTCAAAGCCCGGGATAAAAGCTATGCAATAGCTTAAAAAAACTGTTTTTTTCTTCGGTTTTTTTCGATAGTATAAAAAAGAATCTTTTTGCGATTAAACCTCGCTCTTACAGTTTTCGTGGAGACGGACGACTTGACCACTGTAAACTGTAAACTATTCGAAAGCAGTTTTTAAATAAAATATGGCCCTGTGTGAATTGAGTAACTAATTTTGAAGAAAAGTTGGGTCAACAAAGTTGGGTCTGTCATTTGGATTACTTTAAATTTATCAGAAGTCCATGGACATTGTAACGGGAATGCCACATACATGAAAACGGTGCAAAAAAATATGTACCTACCCAAGTTTTCTTCAAAATTAGTTACTTAATTCACACAGGGCCATTTTTTATTTAAAAACTGCTTTCGAATAGTTTGCAGTGGTCAATTCGTCCGTCTCCACGCAATCCCGTTATGATGTCCATGGGCCTCTGTCCTTAATTAAGTTATTGACTCGTCATCGCAAAACGTCAGCTCCGACGAACGAATATCAATTATTATAATAGTCGCTCGAACTACGATTTTACATAATACTGAATAGCAGTTGGATAAAACAAGTTTTGTATAGAGTAGTGTAATCTCGCGTAGAGCTGTGTCCTTAGAGGCGCTTCGCGACGATGCGATCGAAGTGATAAGAGACAGGGACATAATTTCTACCTAATCTTAGTATACAGCGTGTTGTATCAAGACTATCGTATATTTTAAAATATAATCTTAAAAAATAGTAAATTAAATTACAGTAAAATAAAAATCAGGTTTATGTTTTATTTATTGCCTTTTTTTACTAATTGTGAAATTAAAAAAATCTGCCCTAGCAATTCTCCTTTCTATTTTGCCCATTTTGTGGAAGAGAGCACTTATAGATATACTTAGGCCAGCTTATTTCACAAATGCACCTATTTCAAATTTTCAAGCTCCCGGTTCTCTAATTTCCATGCCAGGACATCCGTCCCAAAGTACAATTGAGACTTGACCTCACGTTTCAAAATGGACGGCGGCGTTTGATATCAATGAACTTCGTTGAACACTTACGATTAGCTAAATCGTGATATAGAGCATCCATCTAGTGCAATAAAAAAAAACGTGTTATGTAATNACAAATGCACCTATTTCAAATTTTCAAGCTCCCGGTTCTCTAATTTCCATGCCAGGACATCCGTCCCAAAGTACAATTGAGACTTGACCTCACGTTTCAAAATGGACGGCGGCGTTTGATATCAATGAACTTCGTTGAACACTTACGATTAGCTAAATCGTGATATAGAGCATCCATCTAGTGCAATAAAAAAAAACGTTTTCAAGGTGGGTGGCGCATTTACGTTGTGGATGTCTATGGGCTCCAGTAACCACTTAACACCAGGTGGGCTGTGAGCACGTCCACCCATATAAGCAAAAAAAAAAAAAACGTGTTATGTAATTGACGAAAATGTTTTTTTATTAAAACATTGGATTTAAAGAATGTCTGTTTGTTTGTAATACTACTTCGATATTTCTACCGAGTGCCATGTCTGTTTCGTGTTGCTCTATCTTAAACTAATTAATTTTCTTAGCTAAACGAGATTGTCCTACAGGCGCGATTCTACGATGCTATCTCACCGATAACATAGCGGTCCAGTTCCTTGGTAGATCTAAATCGATTCATGAATTAGCACTGGCTTTAGTTCAATTGTGATCTTTAAATGGAGTGTTAATTTATAAATGTGGGTCTCGTTCGTAACATACCCTAATGGTTTAGAAGGCATCTTATTTAAAAAAGAAAACTTATTCTGATAGTGCTTCACATATAAACAGCTAATACATTAAAAAAATTACAATATTTAACCAATAATTTTTCATCTATGAAATCTTTGATAGTCTTGAATATAGATGGTATTTCTAATAATACAAAAAAAAAACTAAAAGCCATTATATACAAGTGTTTGCGGGTACATTAAATTGGAAGCTATTTGGCAAAGACGTCGTAGGGCTTTTAAGGCGAATGTTTGTATGGCAGCGTAGGCTAACAAACTATTACACTGCCTAGTTCTAGGTTCAAGATGCTACCGTCATCTCTTACTTATACTCTATCCCGACAATCAGGAACCGACTAGGATTATCTGGAATGTCTAAGAGGTGTCCTTATTCAAGCAATATTTGAAAAACTCCCGCATCAGTAGTAAGATACGTTGGTTAGTTGTGCTGTAACCTACAACCTTTGCAACCACAACACACACCCGGTGTGATTCTTGTTAAATCATTTTCAGGATTTATTTAGATGGAAAAGGTTGCCTGGAAGATATCGCATTTAGAGATTAAATCGCCTATTGTATAAACTATACCTATAATATAAAATGTAATAAAAAATCACTTTTTTGGGCCTTGTGGGCAGATGGGCTTACGGCCCACCTGATGGTGAGTGGTTACCATCGCCCATGGACGTCAGGAATGTCAGGGGTAGAGCCAACCTGCTGCCTACCGTAAAGTGCTCTCCACAAGCCTCGTTTAAAGAAGGACCTTTCATAGCGCTCGGAAAACTCCGTAGAGTTCATTCTACTCCGAACTCATTCCAAAGCCGGACGGTACGTGGTAAAAAAATTCTCTGGAAGCGCACTGTGGATAACGCAGTGGTTCTATTTTGTAAGCATTATGGATGAAATTCTCTTTCTCTCTCTCTTTCTCTCTTTAACTCTCTGCTTCTGGCATTGTTCTATCCATGAACAATGGTGACTCTTCGGTCTTGTTTTCCTTCGATACAGAACACGAGTGTCCAAAAAGATAAGATGTTATCATAACAAATAAACATCTCTCACTTCCTCGCTTCAGGTAACCTCCCGCTCCCGCTGTACCTCATGCCCTATGGTGCATCCCGATCTGACAACGCACGCATCCTTAAACACTTATAAAGGTTTGTGCTGGCAGTTAATTAACCCTTACAAGATTTATCGGGCTCCATTTCTGTCGTGTCATTTTTGATATAGTGCCCGTATGTTGTGACCATTACAGGTGAGTATTTAGATTAACAAGGGACTTTTTTTATACGACTAATAAACTAAAATCTAAATGGCTCTCAGGTCCAAATTGTAATTTGCGTAATTACTGGTGGTAGGACCTCTTGTGAGTCCGCGCGGGTAGATACCACCCCCTGCCTATTCCTGTCGTGAAGCAGTCATGCGTTTCGGTTTGAAGGGTGGGGAGGCAGCCGTTGTAACTATACTTGAGTCCTTAGAACTTATATCTCAAGGTGGGTGGCGCATTTACGTTGTGGATGTCTATGGGCTCCGGTAACCACTTAACACCAGGTTGGCTGTGAGGTCGTCCACCCATCTAAGCAATAAAAAAAGGTCTGATTTTTTCCACAATGCCGTGGAGAAGAACTGAATGTGCATAGCATAATAAGGTTGTAAAAAGTGTAATCACAATAGACTTTAATTGGTTTAATTTGAAAATGCAAAACGTACATAAATCATTATTTTAATAATACTAGAGGTCCCGTAGTAGTCGAAATTCGACTATAATTAATTGGAATTGTAAGTTTGTACACTATTATGATTGTATTTTATACTTCTATAATCACAAATTTCGCCAAGACTATACTATAAAAAATATTAACAAAGACAAACAATATTTAATCTATTCTCAATTTGATAACAGACGTGAAGAACAAAAGTTGGACAATAAATAGTATGCATGCGTGTGTGCGTCAAATACATCGTATGTGATGTGTGTAATGTTTTCTTTATTGATTTAAAGTATGTTTTATGCATTATTTTAAAAAAATATTAGCATTGTGCACTTCTCTATATTCTCTATAAGTGTGGAAAATTTCATACTCCTCCGTCCGCGCAATTTTCGTAAAAAGGGATACAAAGTTTTTGCTTCACGTATTATTAATAATATTTTCTGAAGCTTTCACTAGTCGTTGACGTATATAGAACAAGTCTTACGGTTTAACTTTAATCTTTTATTACCACGAAAACTGTATAGTATTCAAAAGGTGGGCTAAGGTGGGCTATAACAAAACGAAAACTAAATTAATACCTAAGCGCAATAAAAAAAGGGTAATTGAAAAAAAATCAATGATTTGCAGTAAAGGAGATCTGAAAATGATATCTTCATGTTAAATTGCTTTAATTAATTAAATCAAAATCAACTATAGTTCTTCTTTAAATAGACGTATGCTTAAAAATATGACTTTTCAATGTACAAATTTTACATTTAGTTTGTAATTGTATAACATATAATTAAAGTCTAAACGTAGTTAGGAATATGTACTGTGTTATATTGAATAATATAATATATTTAAACACATATTAAAATACAAATCGTAGTTAGTGATATTTTAAGCAGGCACCCAAATTTCAATGAAACCTGTATTCATAGGAAAACATTAATTTTAAATTTGTAAGAATTTTTCAATAGGTAGGTAATAATAAGTATTCAGTACTAGCTGACCCGGCAGACTTCGTAGTGCCTCAATCTAAAAATAAAAGACCTAAACTTTTGTATAAAATAAACTTAAAACAAATTATACCTTTACATTACCTTTTAAACCTTCTCTGGACTTTCACAAATAATTCAAGACCAAAATTAGCCAAATCGGTCGAGCCGTTCTCGAGTTTTAGCGAGACTAACGAACAGCAATTCATTTAAATATTGTATATAGATTAAAACTGCTGATCGAATGCGGCTGAAAGTAATTTCACTTCGTATGACGTTATTGGGAGCCAAAACCAATTTTTGGATCATCCCTTAGGCTAAAATCCTAATCCTAATACTAAACTAAAAATATTAAACAAAAATTATGTCATGTCGTTCAGTGATTTTATTCAATTATTTACAAAACATATTAAATCGTATTAATTGAATTGACATTACGTCTGCCCAGATTGCTTATTACGTCCCTGGCGTGGCCCGGTCGATATCGGCCATACTCGACTTTGTATCGACGTTAATTGAAATACCGATTATTTTCGGGCTACATGCCGGTGATAGCATAGTAATAATTGCACTTAATCACAGCTTAATACAATTTTCTTAGACAGAGTCATTAAACTTTGTATTTTGAGTAATATCAATTTCCTGATTGAGCATAACGACTTTCTTAATTTTGGTAATTAATATTTTTATGTTGTAGTACATCTTAAAAATCTGACTGCTTTTCATCCATCTGCCCCTTTCCAATGACATTTGTAATTGATTGACTTTAAAAACCCCTAATTTGTTCTCATTATTTCTCTCTCTTTTTGTCTTTAAATGCATCGACATGGTGTTGTCTCATTCTCGTTAAACTAACATTATAAGGCACTTTACACATCGGCTACAACTGCGCGAATGCGTTCAGAACAATAAAAAAACTGTCAAAAATTCCTCATTACTTCGATGTCTTCATAAGGCAGGATACACACCGCTCTACGATAATTAAAGAGGCCACCGGATGATAAATAACCGAGTGTTCGTGTTTTTACCGCAGATGTCATTATCTCAGCCGACTCTATCAGACGTAAGTCGATTACGTTGTGTGGATTTGTATGGAGGTGATAAAACCAAGTTCCCGCTTATATTATCGAACATTTTTCTTCTTTTTCTTGTCCTTATCCCACATTATATGTGGTCGGCGTAGCTTGTCTTTGTATAATGCTGCATACGGTTCGGCATAAGTTTTACATATTATGGAACATTTCACGGAATCTATTAATTGTGTTTTTTTTATCAATTGACAATATTACAATACGTTTTAGTAAATTATCTTCAACCACATATTTTACGTGAAAATTCAAACAAGATATATCAACTTTTTTAGAATTACGAATCAAATCAAATACATAACATAAAAATTATGTAACTGTCATGAAGTCCCTGAAAAAAGAATTTCATTTCTTCACACGCCTCACCATACTTTCTCCGCATTTAGAAGAACAATGCGTATTAAATTTATTCATTTCCAAAGACTTACTTGTAATGCCTCTATAAGTATATTCTGGGTTTATGATAGCGTAGCGCATGAATAATCGAAACGTACCCGACCTGATGAGAGTCCGTGAGAGTTTTTGTCGTGACCATCCACGATTGTGCCCTTAGGAAAACATATGGTAATGTGTTATAGACTGCACTTTATGACTGCAATATCAGTAGGAGCGGCAAGCAGCGCCAGAATATTGTATTTCTTTTATTTGCATAAATGAGTAGAGGAAATCAATACCTTTCTGGCGTATAGATACGATTTGCAGGCACGGCTTGTACCTTGTCCTTTGTTGATAATTCCATTGATTTGATTTATAGCTATTTCGTTGGTAATTTGATAAATTGCAAAATATTAAATTTCTTCTATGTAAACAAATAAATGTGTTTATGATTTAGCGGTTGGCTCTGCCCCTGGCATTGCTGAAGTCAATGGGCGACGGTAACCACTCACCGTCAGGTGGGCCGTATGTTCGTCTTCCTACAAGGGCAATAAAAAAAGTTTGTTTTCTATGCCTTCTTAAGCCTTTTATCCAGTGAAATTAAGACAATTGCTGTTAGCATTCTAGACAAGGTTAGTGATATAATACTATTAAAAAACGGCAGGTGACGCTTGACTTGTTTCAAATAAATTTCGCTTTTATTATACATCCATTACTTTCGATCTATGAACTAAAAGATAATTTAAAAGAGTATTTTTTACAAACAGACAGAAAAGACTTTAAAGGTATACTTTTTTTTGGGTTTTTATGACTTGGTAACTAAGACCTTTAGGTCATGTCTTATTTTAATTTATATTCTTATTTTTATGAAAAATGATAATATGGAGTGTAATGAAATGAAGATAATCAACTGGGATGACATTAAATGAAATGATATGGGATGAAATATAATCTCAGTAAAATGGTGGTCATTTACTGAGATTTTTTCAGTGGACTTTTCTGGACTTTCACAGATATTAAACAGTTAAGAAACCAACGTTATTACACATTTAAACCTGAAGAAGCACTCCTCGCGTTCCCGCCAAAAAGTCGTTAAAAGTATACTTTGAACTATTCAGCATAGACAATTAAATACGTCACACGACAACACGCCAGTTTATATTCCATACAAATGGAACTATTTGCACTCATTTGAGCAAAAAACACTTCAACGACCAATTAAACTGCTCTAAACTAAAATTAAGACATACAATTGTCGACTGACTGCTATTTATGCTGTTAATTATTATGTTCTTATATGAGTACTAGCGTGATCGAACACGCGTACTTTTTATAGTTTTTTTTTTAAATTGTGTTATAATTGGGCATTGTTCGATAACTTGTAAGGAGTTCTTCAAGTTGTTTATGAAGTGTTGAATTAATTGGTTTTGGTAAAGCTTATTGAGTTATAACGTTTTTTGGTTTACTTAAACGGGAGAACGATAACATAATGCTAACCTGGTGTTAAGTAGAGCCTGTAGACATCATAATCTGAATATCCACTTTGAAATATAGGTGGATTTAACAGAATGACCAGATTTAATTCAGTTCTTTTATAAAATAAAAACCAAATTTTTTTTTTAATTAGTTTACATATTTTTTGTCAATTTTTTTTAACCGGTATTTTTAAATCATTATTATCTATATTATCCTCACCTTATCGAAGTGTCTCCTTTGAATACTGGGTTATACTGCGATTCAGCAGTGGAAGCAATCTCCATCTTACCTATTTCTGCGTCACTAAACATCTGTGCCTTTTGCGAATAGTCGCAAATCCCTTAATATAAGGCTTTTAAGGCTTATATTCGCCTCTCAAGGTGTAGTTATCACGAGCTCTGATTAAGACCGTAAAAATTTGAGAAAGTCCTTGTTCTATTCTAAATTTCGACCATTACAGAAGGATGTATTAAAGATAAAACATTTTATTACACGGCAGGTGGAAAACCGATACATACAGTTGCAGAAC